GAATCCCTTTCTAGTTCTCAATCCTAATCCAAATCCCTAAAATTATAGATAATAATCCAATCCTATTTGAAATAGGAATTCTAAAACTAACCTAGTTCTTTACACATCTTCCCTCTTTCAAAACTAGATTCATACCATTTAAAGATTAGGACTCCCAATTTGAATCGACTTCAAAAACATCTTTTGCAATTCTTGTTGAAGACTTCTAATCTGGATAGTCCTTCATATTGATGTAATAACCTATCCAAACTCAAATAGATTTAGGGATAAACCAAAAGAATTTGGGAATTTAGGGAGAGTGGCTGGTGGCAAAGCAAGAGGAAGCAAGAGGAGTTGTGAAAAATGAGGGCTAGGGTTCGACTGAAGCTAGCCTCTCTTTTTATTTTTTTAGCCCATAGGTCAAAACGACATCGTTTCGCCATTTCCTCCTTTCACCCCTTCAAGTTTCCATTTTTTACAGAATGGTCCATTGACTTCTAATTTCATCATTTGACCCCAATTAAAATTGAGTTAAGACAATTGCTCCCTCTGTACTTTTCTTTTTACAAAAAAGCAAAGTAAAGAATCAAAAAATAACCCAATTTTAAGCATCTGTAAGTGAACATTTCATCTTCTTTCTTGGGATGTGGTCTAGGCTGTGGTTTTCCAAGACATGAACCTCATCTTTTCTTTTCTGAAATGCAATCTTCACCTAGGATGTAATTCCCCAAGACGCAAACTTTGTCCTCCTTTTCTGAGATGCCAACTTCATCTTTTTTCTTCTTGAGATGCAATCTTCATCTGGGGTGTAATTTTCCCAAGATGCAAACTTCATCTCTTCTTCTTCCTGTTGACGACTACTTAAGATTTCAAAATAATGAAAAATTATTATTATTATGTTCATTATTAAGTGTGAAAAATATAAAAGAAAGGGAGTCATCACTCGTCCAAATTATAAGGTGGGACAAGTCACCTAAAATGAGTATGTACAGAGACTGGGATTCGAGAGTTCGGTTAGGAGTGAGAAAGGGCATATGTGCATCTCACAATCCTCCGTTTAAATACGGTTGCATACTTTAACATTTGGGTTTTAATTCAACTTATTTATTATCTTTATGTTTAAGTCTTAATAGGGAAACTTAAAAAAGGATAAACCAAATTGAAACATTTTTTAATTTTTGACCTAAAATGGACAAAATAAAAGACATGTATGCACAATAAGCACAAATAAAAATTAAATGGACTGATTTGATTAAAATAAAAATAGAGGATTTATTTGAAAAGGTATGAAACTTTTGGACTAAAGTGCTTGAACATGAAGGTTTTGTGTGAAGTTGAAATAAAAGAGATAACTTTTGATTTTTTTTTTTTACAAGATTAAGGCAAATAGAAGATTTAAAATTAATTAATTAAGATAATTAATTTAATTAAATGATTAATTTAATATTAATTAAAATTAATTAATCATATTTATTAATCTTTAACTAAAATAATTAAATGAATTCAATTATCTCAAATTAAAGCTAATAAACATGATTAATTTATTTTAATTAAAATTAATTAATTTCATCAATCATAAATTAAACTAATT